CTTTGGAGAATAGCTTGACTCCCTCTTCTTTGGGGCAGCCCCTGAGATATTGGAAGACTGCTATCATGTCCCCCCTCGTCCTTCTCTTCGTTAAACTAGACATTCCCAATTCCAGCAACCGTTCCTTATATGTTTTAGCCTCCAGTGCCCTAATCATCTTCCTGAATCAATGCAGCTGATCTTTCTGCTTCTGGAAAACTGAGATTCCCTATACCAGGGGTCTCCAAACTTGGCAGCTTTAAGACTTGTGGACTTCAACCCCCAGAGGTTGAAGTCTTCAAGTTGCCAATTTTGGAGACCCCTGCCCTACAACCTTTCAGAGTCCACTGTCATCCTACCACGATGGCTGCTGTCTTCCCCATCCGCTTGATCTCCTAAAGTTAGGCCAGGCTGAAACACTCTCCAAGTTCAGACCAAGGTCATCTTACATCTTCCCTCCCCAACCTAGTGCTCTATGGATTGCTCTGGGCCACCACGTTGGCTGGAGAATTTTGAATCCGTGTCTGAAGAACATCTAATTGAAAAATACCGCATTACGAAGCTGGAAACAACATTCAGTTCAGCCATTTCTTTGTAATTTCAGAAGAGAAGACGGAACATGGACGCTTGGCTTCGGGAACAACCTGGTTGTCAACGAACGAATCACAGATCTAAAAGTTTCCTCCGCAAGCCTTCATTCTTGGCAGGAACCAAGTCGCCAGCACGTCTCTGGCTGTTGTCCTGCATATGCCTCAGCTGAGGGTGGCGCTCCAAGATGAGCTCGCAGAGTTCCTGGTGCCCATTTTCTGCTGCCTGGAGAAAGAGAGAAGAACCATCTCAGTGGTTCTTCAACCAGCGGCAAGAGAAGACCCATCCCACGGCCTGTCCCCTTGGCCAACTGAGCAGCAGAGGTGGCCTAGTGGTGGGGGAAGATGATGGAAGAGAAGGAAGCAAGGGAAGAAGGTCTTAATTTTTACAAACCAACACTCAACTGCATATTGAGTCCTGGGTGGTGGGAATGTAGACGCAAAGCTTAGTCTATGTCAGGTGTCTCCAAACTTGGGACTTTAAGACTTGTGGACCTCAATTCCCAGAATTCCCTGGCTAAGGAATTGTGGGAGCTGAAGTCCACAAGTCTTAAAGTTGCCAACTTAGGAGACCTCTGGTCTATGTGATCTCAAACCTGGTCAGATACGACTCCAGCTCAATTCCCCAAGGCAGGGGTAGGCAACCTTGGCTCTTTTATGACTCGTGGACTTCAACTCCCAGAATTCCTGAGCCAGCCACGCTGAGGGGGAAGGGAGAGGTTTCCAAGCTGAGCCATGCTGGCTCAGGAATTCTGGGAGTTGAAGTCCACGAGTCATAAAAGAGCCAAGGTTGCCTACCCCTGCCCCGAGGCTTATAGAGGAAGCTGCCTTGCCCCATCTTGGACTATTAGTAAATCTACCTCCAGATGATTAAACTTGATTACTTTTTTCCAGCATAGCCTGAAGGCCAGGATAATGTCGATGATCTAATTAAAGCTTTAGGCTGTAATCTCTCTGCCTTCGAAAAAAGTGGTGTCTAGCAAGGGGAAGGAGGGGGGCACCAGGGGTGTCCTGCACAAGCACACATTGCACACACACCTTGTGGAGGCAGGTCTTCCCATCGTCATCCGTGGCAGCTGGATCAGCTCCGTGGCCCAGCAGTAGTTGGGCTATTGCTGTGTGGCCACAGAAAGCTGCCCGATGCAGGGGGCTGGCCCCGCCGTGGGTGCGGACATTGCAGGAGGCTCCATGCTCCAGCAGGAAATGGCAGATGTCGTAATGCCCATTGCGACTGGCGTAGTGCTGCAGAAACAGAAACGCTCGGTCTCTGAAAAATGTACCAGGTCTGACCTGTCTAGCACCTCAAGTTCTGAGCGGGTGGCATGCATGTAGTTGAGAATTCATACCCTAGGCCCTAAGTCAGGGGTCCTCAACCTTGGCCACTTTAAGACTTGTGGACTCCAACTCCCAGAATTCCTCAGCCAGCAAAGAACTTTGGCAACTTTAAGACTTGTGGACTTCAACTCCCAGAATTCCTCAGCCAGCAAAGAACCTTGACAACTTTAAGACTTGTGGACTCCAACTCCCAGAATTCCTCAGCCAGCAAAGAACTTTGGCAACTTTAAGACTTGTGGACTCCAACTCTGAGGAGCTGGCTGAGGAATTCTGGGAGTTGAAGTCTACAAGTCTTAAAGTGGCGAAGGTTGAGGACCCCTGCCCTAAATAACTGTACATTAAGTAATTGTAACTTTGATTACTAAACAAACCCATTTTCTGGAGTCACACAACACATTGTGTCATAAACAAATCAAAACCACAAACGAATCAAACTAAGCTGGGTTTACACAACCGAGAATTTCCCGAACAAAGATCCTCAGGTTGAAAGAAATGAAGCTTAGCCTGTTGTGTGAATGCAACAAGCAGGGCTTTTACCTTGCCTAACTGTGCCTCATGCGAACTCAGATCCGGAACCAAAATCTCAGGGATACATCCCAATTTGCTCTGGGATGCAAAGTCTGTCTCTCCCTTCCTTCCCCCTATTAAAACAGATGCCAAGGAGGCTGGGATTGTTGATGGGACCCACTGAGGGAGTAAAAGCAGGAACAAACTGAAGTTAAATTGAGACAAGGTTAAGACTAGCACAGCTAACTAATCGATCGGCCTTACTCTCCTTGGATCAATTTCGTTAACTTCCATCGTTTGTTTCCCTGTCAAGAACCGGGTTCCATAAAATCTAAACACTTTAGGACTAAAAGGTACAAGAGACCAGAAGGTCTAAATTTTCTCTTAGGAAGCTGTTTATAAATTTGCTTCTTTTCTTGAAGAATTTTGGGGTCTGTCCCACAATCCCGACAAAATAGTTTGGGGCACAGGCAAGCCAAGTGTCCTTCTAACAGCCACCGCCCCGATTGCGAAGTTTCTTCTGATTATCATCCATTAGAACATGGATGGGCAATTAATTTTCCCAAGGGGGTCACATGAGAAATGGGCCTGTTGTGGAGGGCCGCTTGAAATATTTTGACAATTTCCAGGGAACTCTGACCATGATTGAGGGTAACCCTGTTTCCATTCCAAAATGTGCAGCAGAACTTACCTTAAAAAGTTATTCTGAGCTGACTCTAAATTAGGGGTCCACGTCCCACAGAAGGGCTACCTCATTCTGAAACCTTTGGGGGGGTCTCTTAATTCTCCTGCCTGCTCTTGAATGCACTCACCAAAGCTGTGTATCCAAAAGGGTCTGGCTCATTAGGTTTCCCATGTCTCAGGATGTGTCTCTTGACCCCTTCCAGGTCTCCATTCAGTGCAGCATTCCAGATCCCTATGCAAACAATTATTATTATTATTTTAGTAAAAATGGTAAATCCTTTTGCTGGGGTTCAGAATAAGGAACACCTTAAATTAGCTAGAGGTTTTAATCAATCAGAAACCCTGCCTATGTTGGAATTGCAACTCCCCAAATTCTCAGCCACTGTCAGGGGGGAACAACCAGATCCATAGGTAAAGAATTCAATTGGCTGTTTTATTGTTCAGGTCTCTAGGAAGGAATCTTCTCAGACTGACAGTTTGCACCTGTATGAGACCAGATAAGGTTCAATGGCATTCAAGGGAGATTGGACTTTATTCTCCTGTGCCCACATAGGGATTCCAGACAAATTCCCTGTTTGACTCCTTCCGCTGGCTCAGCCAGTCTCTCTCCAACATCCACTCCCTTTTCAGATTGTGATTAAATCCAAACTCTACAAGTGTTTTTCTCTCCTCTCCTTTCATTGTTTGATAACCAGTGGGATGAAGGGACCTGGAGAAATGGAAAGACTATATTTTGCAGAATTTCAAAAAAAGAAAACAACTCCATACTCTCCCGCAGTGGATAGTAGGTGTTTAAAAACTGTTTCTCTTTTAAAACAGAGATAAATTTCCAAAAACAGTTGTTTTTGGAAAGATAATGACCATGACTGTACAACTGATGCTCAATGTAACGTGAACAAAAATTACCAAACAAAACAGAATTGTTTTCATATTAAAAAAAAGAAAAACAACTACGAATTCTTGAGCTGAGTAAAATCTCATTTATAAATAATTTAAAAATATATAAAAGTAAAAAATGTTTGTGTGTGTGTGTGTGTGAGAGATCTTTCCCCCTGCTTGTTTTCCAACAAATTGGTATTTACAAACCATGCTTTTTTTTTTTTCTTGTAAACCAACCATACACCTTGAAGAACACAAAAAGTGCAATGAGGTGACAAGAGTCTGCTGTTTAGTATTTTGATTTAAAAAAATCCTATCTTTGGAACTCACTGCCACAAGGAATCATGACAACGATTAGTTTCCACGATTGTCATCTCCAGCAGCATGGCGCTGGGAAGTTAGCCACATAGTTAAAGCTAGTCATCCTGTCCTTATCTTGAGCCTCTGCAAGCTCACAACTGCATCTTTTCCCAGAGTTTCCATACCTCTTTCAAAATCCATCTCATCCAGAGTCTGGTGCACACTCTGCGCTGAAGAGGGGTGGCAGGAACAGGTCCCATCCTCATGGCGTCCAGGTGACCAAGTCATTGCCACTCTTGGTCTTCTCAAAAAATTCTTTATTGGCAAAGGGGAAGACGTGGCTCTGATGTATGAGTCAACCCTTTGGTTGATGACCCATGGATCAGCACATTGTCTAGAAAAGAGAAGGCCATTTCCAGAAAGGTTTTCTACTCACTACGGTCTGGAACAAAGACAGAATTATGCAGGAAAAGCATTATTTCTTAGCCTGAGATGTCCAAAAAATAACAGTGCTCAACCTGTTAGGAACTGCTGTATCTTCTCTACAGCTCTAAACCAGGAGAGGGACATGATTCTCCTAATTCTCCATCTTTCTCTGTGCATGCGCGCATGCCCTGCTATCCCACTCAATCACACACACCAGCCACATTTGGCAGCTCCCTCCTGACACACGATTTTTGCCTTCTGCAAGGAAGGAATAATAACCCCATTGTTAAAGCCTTGAAATAAACTCAAATTGGGGTCGCTGATGAGATGCTGAAAAATTACAGAGGCCCCCAATTTAAAGCTTACTGAGTCTTCAAAGAATGGACTAAATTTGTTTTACCCAACCGTGGCTGATGCACATTTTCAGCTATTTAGGAGAGAAAAGGAAGTGCTTTTGCTACCTATCAGCGCACTCACGTCAGGCTCCCTGCCTCCATTTAATTATAGTTCCTCTGCTCTGTCTTTTAGAAGTGGATGCTTTATTAAAGTAGGAAAAGTGAATTACTAGCAACCATTCAAGGCTCCTAAAAATTAACACCCTCAATGTGTATCATCCACAGGCATCTCAACGGTAGTAGCCATTAACGTCACCAGGGTATCTGCTGCTTGATATTCTGCAGCCATCTCTCATAAAAAGGAACTTTTAGCACATTTTACAGCAATCAAGGTGAAGTTCAACTCTCTACTATTTACAACAAACACTAATGTGGCTCGGTGCTTAAATCAGAGGCACCTAAACCGATGCAGAGTAAATCAGCACCAAACTAATGAGGGAAATTGCTGCAATATAACAACGTAGCCATGAAACAAAGAGATAGATGTCTGTTAGTTGGAAGGAAGGCTACGCCAAATCTAAACAAAATAGCAAAGTGCCACCAACAAAGCTGCGGATTGTCAAGGCCAGTTTTAATAATTGTAACTTATGGCTGCAAAAACTGTACAGTCAGAATGGTTGAGCAAATAAGAATCGGACCTGTTATTATTTCTAAGCCTTCAGTTTTGAATTTAGAAAACGACCCTCATGGTATCTTCTGGAGCACTCAGAGAAAAGGCAGGACAAGTTACAATAACTAATAATAATTTATCATTCAGTTGCTATAGAAATCCAGGGCACTGCATTAAAAAAAACAAAACCAAAAATCTGTCAAGTTGCCAAGGCTGGACACCCCTGGTCTAAAGAGAGGGAGAGACAAATTTTTCAGAGGAGGGAAGACCCCCCCAAAAGTAGCCAGCGAAACAGAGGGCAGTCCCTCTTTGTGGTCCTGGAGAGCAAGAGATGGGCTGGTATATGACGTCCACAATGCAAAATTCATCGGCAGAATAGGTGCCATTTAAGCTCAATGCAAAGGTATTTTTCACGAAGCAACTAGCCCAGTTGCCTCGTGGAAAAAAAGCACCTTTTGGATAACTATTTATTTATTTATTTATTTATTTATTTAATTTATATCCCGCCCTTCTCCTTGCGGACTCAGGGCGGCTAACAACCAGATAAAATACTAATCACAAAAAACTACAAATTAAAAACATAATTAAAAACAAATATTAATAATTGGTCTAGTAGTTAAAAATTACTTTAAAATTACTTTAAAACTAAAAAACTATGACCTGGATGACGGAGAATCTCCATAGACCAGGGGTCTTCAAACTTGGCCCTTTTATGACTTGTGGACTTCAACTCCCAGAATTCCTCAGCCAGGCACAGGTGCCTGGCTGAGGAATTCTGGGAGTTGAAGTCCACAAGTCATCAAAGGGCCAAGTTTTTGTTTTTAATAATACTAATGTTCTAATGTTACAATTAAGTATTTTAAAAGCAATGTGGTGACTGGGTTGTTCAACAAGAGACATAAGTCTTTAGTATAAATCTCAAGTTACAACATCAGATATTTCCTCTCTTTCTCCCTTAATAACTACTATCTCATATTAGGCTAATACAGTTCTTCTTATTGACTAAGGAAAAACATCTCTATTACATTTATCAATACTTTTTACATATCTTAATTGTGTTTCCATTCAGTCCTTATATACCAGGGGTAGTCAACCTTGGCTCTTTTATGTCTCGTGGACTTCAACTCCCAGAATTCCTGAGCCAGCCATGCTGGCTCAGGAATTCTGGGAGTTGAAGTCCACGGGTCACAAAAGAGCCAAGGTTGACTACCCCTGTTATATACAATTAATGTCCTGTTATTGCTTTTTCCCATAAAAGGGCCAAGTTGGAAGACCCCTGCCATACAGACATTTAAGCTCATCCCTTGAGCATCCTTAGCTGGCTGCAAAACTCTCTTCAAAGCCAAACATTAATTTATGACTTGGATGGGGCACCACGAGGAAACCCCAAGGGAGGTTTTTTTAAAAAGTCCTGGAAAGTTAAAAGGCATTTCCACATTAAGATAAACGCCTCCACCGAAAGCCACCTTCTATCTTCATCCTTGCTGAGTTCTGCCAGATCTGTTCGGTCCCAACTCCCCTCTTTGGTCCATGCTGGCTGTGGAGGATGGGAGTGGGAATATATGGGAATGACAACACAAGCCAGTTTTGCTCTACCCCTAATAATTCTTGCAGGGGGGGGTTACAATGCTCTCCCCTCCTTCAGCTAAAGACACGTGTAAATGCAGCGACTCCCCCCCCACCACCAAAAAAAACCACCCGCCCACGCCGGTCTTACAGCCGCCATCTTGTCTCCTTCCGGATACAGAAAAGCGCTTGGTCCAATCCGAGACGAGGGGACGGCAACAGGCAACCAATAAGAAATCTCCGGGGGCAGAGCGAGTTGCATTGTCAGCAGTGACCGCGGATATCCACTAGGGGGAGCTGGGGACTCAGGAATGGGGTAAGAAGAGGCGGAGGAGGGACCCGTCTCTTGTCTCCTCCCAGAAACCGGGTTAGTTCACAAACTAGGTTAATCTTGTGGAATAGCAACCCGTATAGTAAACATAAAAATTTCAATCTAGGTTATTCCAGACTTTTTTTTTTTTTTAACCATCACCTCTTGTGAGTGTTGCTGAAGCTGGGATGAGCAATCTGGAGCCTTTTAGTCACATTTCAGCCTTGCTCGTTTTATGAGCCCCCAATTTCATTTCTTTAGTTGGCGCCCGCTGAAATTTAGCAATGCAATGTTATGCATTCCAAAAAAGCACTCAATTACAAAGCAAACTAGGTTTGATGACCTCCCTGGCTTGGCTCCTGGAGCCCCATAACCCCCTCTGCCCAAATACTGCCCCTTCAGTAACATCATCCATCTCTGGGTCCGGCAGCAGTGGGGAACCCAGTCATCTATTCCCCAAATTTATTATATCTGTCCCTAAAAATCAGAGTCCTCCCCTGCCCTTCAAGATACCTTTTGACAGCTCTGCTTAAATTGAGACTCTCCAGGCATCTAGAGGGGTGTCCTATCATCCAGCACACGAGCTGGGATGATGGGAGAGGGGAGTCCAGACATAAGTGGATCAGGAAAGGGAGCCCCATGACCACAGAATGCTAGGAGAACCAACCTGCAATTGGACCCAACAAGCCTTCTAAAGATCTGAAAGCACACATAGAGGGTGACAATGTTACATTCACACTTGCCGGGACCGAAATAAACTCTGCTGTCCATCGCGGCGCAAGCTGTGTGGCTCCTACATGGCCTTTTCAGTCTATCCGAGACCCACCCTTGACCGCAAAGCAGCAGACATCTCTGGCCAAGCCAGAAACCAGTAATTTGAGAGCTTCCCACTTTAATTAAAGTGACCGGATTCTTTAGGTAAGCGTAGGATGATTTCCAGCCAGGGGCAGGTTGCTTGCTGCCTCCAGCAAGGCCAAAAAAACCTCATTGCAGGGTGATCTAGCGGTCAGCCGTACGCAGCAGCTTTGGTGGTGGAAAGAAGGGTATTTTTGCATCTTCCCGGTGAGGCAGGAGACGATGGCAAGCAGCCATGGCACCTGGTCTTCTTCCTGCTTTGGGATGCAAAGTGAATGCTTTGGCCCTTTGATGACTTGTGGACTTCAGCTCCCAGAATTCCTCAGCCAGAATAACAGAGTTGGAAGGGACCTTGGAGGTCTTCTAGTCCAACCCCCTGCTCAGGCAGGACACCCTATAATACCATTTCAGTCTCTTCTTAAAAACGTCCAGTGTTGGAGCATTCACAACTTGTTCCACTGATCAATCAAAGCTCTGCTTGCTTTTTTTTATGGGTGATCTTCTTAGCTGGCCCCTGCACAAACCTCTCAACTCAATTCAAGATTAAAATGTGGATTTGATTCTCCTGTACATGGCAGGCCACCAACATGGGTGGTTAAAGGAATTGTCAGAGGATAAGGATTTCAACCGATCTTAATGAAGACAGCTATATATTGCATCGGTTGCTGGGGAACGCAAGCAGTTGATTCTGTGAAATAAGTCGCTATTTCTTTATTTTGGTTAATTCTATTTATATCCTCCTCTCCGTGTGATGAAGCACCAGGCTTGGCAAAACATGTTCAAAAACAACCAAATGTGGAAGTATAATCATCAAGCTTAAATTTAAAAATCAGTAAACAGCAGAAGAAAGATGTTTTCAGTTGCCGATCCAACTAGATTAATTTATGTGACCTTCAACCGCTTCAACAATTCTAGGGAATGAATCTAAAACGAGCCCGCCAAGTATAATTCTGGAGGAAATAAAAAGTCAGAGAACAGAATTATCTAAGAGGAAATACCAGAATCTATAGCTAAGTACAGGTAGTCCTTCAGTTATGACTACAGCTGAGTCCAAAAGTTCCATCGCTAAGCAAGGCAGTTCTATCAGCCCTCATCCTTCAAAATATAATAATTTTGTTTTGATGATCTTTGTTTCTACTGAGCATTATCTTGTGATCCTACTTCCTCTAATATTGAATTATTAATTCTCTTAGCTGTTCAAAGAATGCAAAATAGATACCCATCCATCCATGCATCCCTCTATGAATTTGCCTCTCTCCCTCTCTCTCTCCCTCCCTCTTTCCCTCATCTATCTATCTATCTATCTATCTATCTATCTATCTATCTATCTATCTATCTATCTATCTATCTATCTCAGTCCATTGAGTTGATCATTCTAACTTGTGTCTTGATTGAAATGTCTAAATCTTTCTGCAAAATGACCCACTATCCTCCATTTGTGGGTACACCCCAATTTCTTGAGCTAAGATCCGAAGTATGACAGAATATTTTAGACCAAAAAGTCTGTATGTCTGAGATGTATGATTGGTGTCAATCAAGTTTTTGATTCAGTGTGTTGTAATGAACAGAGTTTATTTTCTTAGGAGATAGTGGTCCTTTGTGGAACAGAGAGCCGGGATGTTAGGCAGAAAAGGCAAAAATACTGGGCTAAAGGGCATAATATTTTTGGGGTGGGAGGCTTCTTCTGGATGACGATGAAGAATGAGGAGGAGGGACAGGGGAAGGAGAAGCAAAAGCAGAAGGAGAAGAAAGAGAAGATTTCTGCTAGACTCCTGTACCAGAAGGAATAAGAGAGGAGAAGAACAGAACTGACTGGAAAAACTGTTAAGGAGGGAAATGGATGATTGCCAATCAGATGGGGCAGCTTCTCTCCAAATTCTCCTGTCTTTATTTTGTGACACATCTGAATCTTCCACCGAGGCTCTGCTGCATCCATTATGCCCAGGTTCAATCTCCTTCAACAGAAATCCCACATCCTTTGGAAAGAGTCTATTAAATATTTGAAGACGATCAACCTGTTTTCCATTTATCTTCTTTCCCTAAGCTGAAATTACTCAGTGTTTTCTTAATTTTAAATCCTCTCTCCCCTTTGATGCTCTGCTTAGCCTCAGCACCAATTTCCTACTGCCTGTCTAATAGAGTCTAAAATAAGGTCCCTCAACTGCAGAAAAGCATCTCAGCTGAAATGGAGTCTCTTTTTTTCTTCCCTCCGGTGTCTAGTGATCCTTTAAAAGGGGAAAGGATAGCCCGCCCCTGCGTGCCTTTGGATTTAAGCTCCCATGATGCCATCCATATTCCTTTTGGGTAAGGATGAAGAGGAATGGAGTTCCATAACCTCTTTGGGTCTGTTTCTTTTTTCCCTAGGAAAAAGCGTTAAACACTTTTTTTGAAAGAGAGCGTTTTTCCTAAGGAAAGAGCAGCCATTATACGGGGCCAATAGGGAAGGCCTTTGGATTCCTGGTTCTCAATTCCAGTGCTTTTTTTTTTATCCATCACTTATTCTCCAAAGTTTTCCCCAGTGGAAGCCTTGATATTCTGAAGGAAACTGGCTGATGGGGCTGAATTGAATCAGGGCAAAAAGAGGACAGGGACAGCTTCTTGGATGAGAAGCAAAACATCTTCAAATATATATATATATAAGAAAGTCCAATTGCCTTGTGAAAAAGCACCTTTGGGATAACTATGACCTGGATGACTGACAATCTCCATAGAGGACAGGGGAAGAGCTTGGGGAAGGAGTCAAGCGAGGAAACAGCCTGGAGTCCTTACGTCACCAAAAAAACAGTCTAAGTCAAGTCCCTGTTGAATTCAGTTAATTCTTATCTCGTGCCAATTTAGTGCTGATCACTAGTTGACAAGATGCTTATCCTATCGGCATGAGCAATGAATTAGCTCGATCGAAACTTGATCTTGATTCTTTGCACCTGACAATCAATTTCTTTCTCCGTCTTTAATGGGTTCACTTCTCTGTCAACCATACAAGGAAAAAAAGATCTGTGAGAATCTGTGAGTCTGACAAGAAGCTCAGTGTCCTATAGCAAAGGCTGAAGGATCCAGAAGGATGTCTAGAGAAGAATGACTAGGAGTCAAAGACTGTGAAACTGATTAGACCACCGTGCCTGCTCAAGTGCAGAAAATGAATGGAGAAAGATCAAACCATATCCCCAAGATAAAATCCTGCTTTTTCCAAGGAATTAGCACGTGGGTAGCAAAAGACGGGGTTTTTTTTTAATTTGTAAAAGAACCTCGTGACATTCACAAAACTGAAGGAACAATTATTTGAATCTTTACACATCCACAGACAGAAAATTGGCAGGAAAAAAAAAATCAAGCACGGTAGCAACTGAAGCCTGTAATTGGCTACTGGTTGCCAGAAACATGTGGTTTTTCTAACACCTTCTGCTCCTCTCCAGCTGTGAGGTGCATGCCTCATTTCACGCTCGCAACATAGCAGACCCTCTGCCAAAGCATGTTGCCATGTGCCAAATGAGCACCGTTCCAGGTGTTGCTCTCCATCCTGCAAACATTCATATATTTTCACAGAGATGCTGAGTGAAAGATGCTTCTGTTCAAGTATGTCCACAGGATACGGTCCAAAATAAAAAAATAATAATAAATCAGGAAGGCAGCCACCATAGTGTGATGTGATGCAGGTAACAAGGAGAACTTCAATCACACTGCTGACATCTTGACTTTTTCGACCACATTCTCTCTCTCTATATATATATATTCTATATTCGTTTTTGTTTATATCTCACAGAATCCTGAAAATATATAGGAGAGGAAGCCAGCTACACATCCATAAAAATTTAGTGGGATCAAACTGTGTTAGCACAGGTAGTCCTTGACTTACTTACTTGAGCCCAAAATTTCCGTTGCTATGAGAGACATTTGTTAAATCAGTTTGGCCTCATTTTATGACCTTTCTTGACACAGTTGTTAAGTGAATCACTGCAGGTGTTAAGCTAGGAACACAATTGTTAAGTGAATCTGGCTTCCCCATTGACTTTG